CTCAACCAGGGCTGACTCGTCAGGGTGCCGGCGCGGGGCCGGCTGCCGCTCCTCCATGTGTCGTCGTGGAGCTAGTTCATCAACGCGTCGCTTTCCCGCCGAGTGCCGTCGCGGAGCCGGCTCTTCGACGCGTCGCTCCTCCAAGTGTCGACGTAAGGCCGACTCATCAACGTGTTGGCGTGGGGTCGGCTCCTGAGACTCGCCCACCTCCTCTGTGGGTGATCTCTCGGCTTCTCTGTTTTTGTGTTGGCGAGGACCTCTGGTAGAGGATCCCTCGGCCCGTGATCCTAATCTTTGCCGCACGGGCGCCCTTTGTCCCAGTCGTTCTGGTGCAGATTGGGAAGGGCCTGGTTGTCGTCTGGCCGGTGCACTTCTTTGGGTCTCCACCCTTATTTCCTGGGGCCGCGGCGGGGGCACTTGACCTTGCAGTCCCACCGCCACCTGATTTAGCGCCGCCGTCACTGCTTGCTGAATGACATCGGCAGTCGCCTAGAGGTTCATGACTTGGTTCGCCCCTCCATTGTGGGGTTGGTCTCGGAGGTCTCCTCCATTGTTGAGTTGGTCTCGAAGGTCTCCTCCATTGTTGAGTTGATCTCGAAGGTCCCCGGGCCTCCCGTTGTTGAGATGTTCTCGGAGGTCCCCTCCGCGATTGTTTGTGAGTAGGTCACGGAGGTCACCTGAGGCGTTGCCATTGTTCACGTTGCGAGAACCGTGGGAGCTGCGGGACGCCATTCTTTCAAGCTTGCTGTTGAAAGAGAAAAAACAGTTGTGTTGTAGCCTGCTTGAGTATTGGACTCAGGCTCTCAATGAAAGCACCAATGACGGTAATAATGTTACCGGAAATATAATATAAGAGTAACGAATAAGAGAGTAACAATAGTTGTATTCCCTTTGTCTCAGTATAGAAAGTACAGTGTCCCCCCTGCTCAGCTGAGGGAAGTTCTATTTATGCTAGGTCCTAACGGTAACAACATGAAGAGACATCTTTGGGGAGCTGAGCTAACGGCAAGAATATGAAGAGTCATGAATGAGGCGTTGAGGCTTTAACTCTCTCTCATCAATGGTGGCATCAAAGGTGGCTTCAATGACAATAAATGTGACACCTGTTGGATTCTAACCGTTGGAGTTCTGCCCGTTAGATTCCCATGTGATGCTGAGTCAGATGCTCATTTGTGATCCGGGTCGGGTGCCAGCCCTATTATCCTGTCAGAATTTTAATTTAATTTTAAATAAAATGTAAAATTTAAACTCGTGATAATATATAAATATGTGACATATAAATATGTTTTTATTATTCAAAACTAATTTAAGTTTTAAATAAAAAAATATTATTTTTATCTAATTCCAAATAAAACCAATAATTGTAGAGTACTAAAATTTAACCAATAGTAGTTCGATCTGAAGTAAGTAAACAATAAAAAAGGAGCTTTATGTCTATAATGGAAAAGGATAAAATATTATTTTTTACAATTAATTAATAAAATAGTTGTTAAATACTTTTTAAAATTTGAATTATTTAACATTAATATCAATTTTGATTACCCAATAAGAACCCAAACAAAGTAGGTTTTAGATATTCAATCCTATAAAAAAAAATTGACACATATGGCTCCGTTTGACGGAGTATATTTAGGAGCTTATAACTTCTACTAATAAGCTATAAACTCTGTTTGGTAAAGTTCCAAATATAAGCTAGTAGCTTAAAATAATAGCTTATTTTGAAACTAGCACTACCTTAGGGCTATATTTGGCAAACCTAGCTAAAAAGGTAGCTAAATGCTTAAAAGGAGCTGAAAATTATGTCATTTCTTTAAAATAATAAGGATAAAGATAGAAAAAAAGTTAGGAAGCTAGGAGCTTATTTGGGAAACATTACCAAACAGAGCTTATAACTTATTAGTAGCTTAAAATAAGCTATAAGCTCCTAAATAAGCTCTGCCAAACAGAACCATAAGCTAGGAGCTGAAAACTGAAGAACTATTAACCTAGCTGTTATGCTTGAAAGTGTTTGGTAAAATTAACTTTTTAATAAGTTGATAAATGTAAAATGACAAAAAAAGACATCTTCATAAAATTTAAATTAGATTGTTTACATATTAAATTTGACATTTTGTCTTCAAAATAAATTAACATTTTAAAATAAAATTAATAGCATAATCATGATTTAGCATCTCATAATGAAGTAGCAATATTCTTGCGAATCTCCTTCATATAATAATAATAATAATTGTGAGTAATGGTTTATCTTGCTATAGCCGCCCAAGCTGGCTTAAACACCTCGGCAAGGGTCTAATCCCTTTTATGGTTTATCTTTATATTTTGTGTGTTGTTGGTATATATGTTCTTTGGATGCGTTTGTATGTGAGGCAAAAAATTGTCTAGGGTTTTTTCCTTTTACTTTTTATGTTAGTCGTCGTAGGGTGCAGTGGTGAAAATATTTCTATGTATTATGTTACGCGATTTTGTTTTCAAATTCAGTGTCTTAATTGCCCTTTCCTATTTTAAGTCATTGCTGGTTGCTTGTTATGCTCTGAGTTTTTATTTAAAAATGTATTTTTGCTTAAATTGGTTGTTAATCGATTCCTATGTCATATGTTTGCAAAACTTCAAAATAGAATGAAACTATGAAACATGTAAAGTTAGTTGTTAGTAAAACGTATTTATGTAGAGCATGCTAAGCATCAATTCTTGAAAACAGTTTTAGGGGTTTCCATCTTGATTCTTAAATACCCTTTTCACTTGTGCTTTGTTGTGTCTAGTTTTATTGTTAGTTTGGGTTGGCCAATCATATTCTTTATATATACCAAAAAAGTTACTCCGTACTTTTCACGGATGGTTGCATGTATTCTGCTTGGGAATTGTTTTCAAACTGGCTATGCACATGGACACAAACTTTGTTCCTTACATTAGTATTTCACCCTGAAAATATATATTAATCAGCAAGTGCAGTTAGCAATTGAGTGGACAATATTTAAGGAGATTCACAATAATCAGGGCCGTTCCAATAAAAATAGAGGTCCTGTGCGACATCTAAATTTGGGCCCCTTTTCACAAAAATATATATAAATCTAGAGTTAAGGGCATCCCAATTGCTTGGATCATATATGTCAAACAAAAATGAATAATTTGGTTTATCATTGTGACCACCATAATCTAAACAACTATCAACATTCTTATCATTTTCATCGTCACAGTGATATTTATCATTGTTGTGCACATATCATTTAAATTATTTTTTTTCAGTCTCACAATCACATTGATTTTCTTTATGAAGATTAGCGTCAAACAAATTTTCATTGTCATGATCCTTTTGCCCATCTATTTGATATTTTTTTTTGTAATGAAATTTTCAAGAGTTCCCTTTTGAGATTGAGTTAATAGTTGCTCAATTCATTTTTTTTCTTTTTACGCTTCCCAATGAATATTTTCTAGAAAACATAATTCCAAAATCCTAAAAGAAATTCTTTAGAATCTTTATCAACAAATAATTTATCAAGAAACAAACTCTTGAATATATTATTTAATGTTTAAAATTATTAAGTCAATAAGCCATTTCAATAAATAATAATTGTAAAATAAATCAAATAATATGTACAATTAAGTTAATAAGTTATAATTAATAATTACAGATGTCTAATGAAGAACTTGATGGAAAAACCTATTGACCTAGAGATTAGGGGTTAAGAAAAGAGATTAGAAAAATAGAGATTAATGAATGAGAAAAGAAATTAGAGATTGAATTACGAAAATATCAGAGTAATAAAAAATTATGATGATGTTTCATTCTTGTGAGTGTATGGCTACTGCAATACTGTTTTAACATCATAATTTCCTATAATATATGTATATAATTTTATTTATTTTTTTACAATTGAGCCTCCAAATTTTAAGGGCCCAATTGAAGGAAAAAAAAAAAACTATATGTATATATACAATATACTATACAACAGGTTATATAATATATGTATATAATTTTATTTTATTTTTTAATAATTGACCCCCCAAATTTTGGGGCCAAATTGTTAAAAAAAAAAATATGTATATATACTATACAGCGCAGCCTGCTGTATAATATATATACATATTATGCATGATGGGGCCAAGGCCGGCCCTGACAATAATATTGCTACATCATTATGGGATGCTAGATCATGATTATAGTTTCATTTCAAATGTTAAATTTTAATATGTAAATAAATCTATTTAAATTTAAAACTATTTAAATTTTATGAAGGGATGTCATTTTTAGTCTTTTTACATTTATCAGATCAACTTATCAAAAAACTAATTTCACCAAACACTTTTAAGCATAATTAGCTAGCTTAACATCTCTTCAGCTTTTAGCTTATAGCTTTTTAGCTTTCAGCTACTTTTCAATTTTTCACCTAAATTTGCCAAACATAATAATAATTATTACTATCAACTAATCAAAATGAGTTTTAAAAATCATCTTTTATTATAAATGCAATATATTTTTCTTTTCTTTTCTTTTGGGGCGAAGAAAAAGGACACCCTACAAAGATATCTTATAATGCTTTTTGTCAGATACACAACGATACAGACAATGTTAGTTTGGTAATTACAATGTTTCAAGTTTAATTCTTTGTTAGAGTTCTCTATGGACATTCATAGTTTGAGACAGTATCGGCAATGTTGCAGAAGGCACTAGATGCTACTCAGGCGTCCTAGGCGACCGTCTTGCTAGGCCGATTTTACAACACTAACTACAAGTAACAAGACTGGTTTACCTCCTAGTGATGCTTTGAGATCACAAGATAAATTTCACTCAAAGCAGACTTTTCAATAAGGATTGCAGACTTTCCCGAAATAAATTACAGACATAACGATAGTCAAGTATGGTGTACTCCTATGTTGCAGATTACATGCCATGAAGTGAGGGCAATTAATTGGAATATTTGTTGATTACAACGACTCAACCAATCGATTCTTGAATTGGGTTGACTATTCTCACCCTCAAACTCTATAAATACTTAGCAAAACCCAACTCTTTCCATCACACTAAATTAAAGCATTGAGTTTACCAATATGGATTACTTAGCCACCCTCCCGTTGCTCCTCCTCCTCAGCCTCTTCACGTCCGGCTACGCCGCCACCTTTGAAATCCGCAACAACTGCCAATACACCGTCTGGGCGGCAGCGACGCCAGTTGGCGGCGGCAAGCAGCTCGATCAAGGCCAAAGTTGGACAATTGACGTGCCCGGTGGCACGAGAATGGCACGTATATGGGGCCGCACAAATTGCAACTTTGACGCCAGTGGGAGGGGCTCCTGCGAGACCGGCGACTGCGGCGGCGTGTTGCAGTGCACCGCCTGGGGAAAACCGCCCAACACCCTCGCCGAATTCACACTAACGGGAGACAACAACTTCGACACCATCGACATCTCACTCGTCGACGGATTCAACGTCCCCCTGAACTTTGCCCCCACCAAGCCCGGCGCCGACAAGTGCCATGCAATCTCATGCACGGCTGATGTCAACGGCCAATGCCCCGCCGCTCTGAAAGTCCCCGGCGGCTGTAACAACCCTTGCACCACCTTCGGAGGACAACAATATTGCTGCACCGAGGGACCATGTGGACCTAGTGATTATTCAAAATTCTTCAAGGGCTTATGCCCTGATGCTTATAGTTACCCTCAGGATGATCCAAGCAGCACTTTCGGTTGTCCGGCTGGATCTACTGATTACAGTGTTGTCTTCTGCCCGTGAAGTAGTTAAGTATAGATTAGTGGAAGTATTAATAATGATGTTAAGAATAAAGGCTTCTGCACAGATAACTCAGTTTGTACTCAAGTGGTAGATTGTGTGCAAGAATAAATGGTTCGGTGTAGAATATATAAATAAAGATTATATATGGGATTTGATCGAAATTTGTGTTCGATCAAAACCACAAAGTCATGCAATTAATGAAACTTCCACTTTTCTTTAATTTCTTTTCTTGTATGTTTTGTTTTGTTTTTTCTTTGTTTTCTTTTAATTACAGTTATTATCCCAAACTTACCTTAACCTGGCCTTGTGTTTAGTCGTCTCCTACTATGCCTGAGATTGCTTGTTTAGTTTTTAGATTTTAACTTTAGATTTTTGTGCATTTGAATGAAAAATGAAGAAAGATTGTGATATGATCTTGTATTAATATATAACTACTTAGGGGGTGTTTGGTTCAGGTTATATAACATAACCAAGGGAATGTGACATTCCAAAGCTCACATTCTGGTGTTTGGTTCATATTATCTTAGGGAATCTAACATTCCCAAGGAATGTCACATTCCCTCCACATAGGATTTTGAAGGGAATGTGATTCCCTTTAAAATCTTAGGTAATGTAAGATAACCTTTGTTATGTTAGTTTATATATATATATATATATATATATATATATATATATATATATATATATATATATATATATATATATATATATAATTATTTTTGTAATTATATATATATTTTTATTTTTATTATGTTATGTGAGCATATAAAATAATTTTGTTTCTTAAGTTTAAGATTTTAGTTAATATTTTAAAATCATGTAACTATATATGATACCGTTATCTTATTTATTTATTTTAATTTTTAAATTTATTAAAATATATAAAAATATGTTAAGGATATTATAGTGTGTATAAAAGATAACCCTAAACCAAACATGATTATGTTACATACCCTAATTTTAACCAAACACAGGAATCTAACATTCCCAGTAATCTAACATTCCCAGCAATCTAACATTCCCTAAGGTAATCTGACATTCCGTGAACCAAACGACCCCTTAGAGTGAGTACTCTAAAAATAACGAGAGAGGGGAGCATCAAGAAGAAAAGGGGAGAAGACAAATTAAGTAGATAGAGGATAAGAATGTGTTTAGAAACAAAATGTTTTTTGAAAAATAATTTCTGTTCAATTTTCTAGAGTGATTTTATTTTTGGTTGAAAGTAAAAAAGTGGTATTTTACTGTTCTGTTCAGTTCATTTTTAAAACACATGAACATAATTTATTGTTAAGTTATTTCTTAAAAAATATTTATTATTTTAATGATAAGAATAATTATATATATATATATATATATATATATATATATATATATATATATATATATATATATATATATATATAGATTTTGGTTCCTGTGAAAATAGGTCTTCCCGTGCGGTCAGTGCGGCATACATCATTAGGTATGCATAAATGCACCATACAGTGTCGAGAATACACCAGAATGAAATGCCAAAAAATGCACCACACACAAAAAAATACACCACACATAATGGTGTATTTTCGAACACTGTATGGTGCATTTATGCATACCTAATTGTGTATGTCGCACTGACCACACGGGAAGACCTGTTCTCACAGGATCCTGACCCTATATATGTATATGAAATTATAAATTAAAATTATATTTATAATAGTTATAAAGATTAATGATAATTATAATAAAAAAATGTAAATAAATAATTTTAACCTGTCACTTATTATAATAAAAAATAAATACAATAAAATAATAATTATGAACAAAAGAAATTGAAGAAAAAAAATTATTTATTTTTGGGGAATGTTGGTTTAGTCAGGCTAAGATTATGAACTGATCAGACTCATATTTAATTTGACATTCTATTTTTTTTTTTTTTTGACATTCTTAAATGTAATAACTCTTAAGTAATATCTGGCCCGCACTTTGTCTCTTAATTTGACCGATCTGGTGCGAATGAGGATTAATATGAGTATGGTACGAGCTTCACAATCGTTATGCTATGGACCCGTGTCCAGCATGCATTGTGGACACGGTAACGGTGCCGTTAGTGGCACCGTTATCTTTCAAAATTTCAGACCGCTTTGTTATAAGAGCATATGTTCATAATTTTATTACTATATGTTCATAATTGTAAGTTCATGATGTCAGAGCTATGTGTTCATAATTCCATAATTGTACATTCATAATTGCATAACTGTACATTCATACTTCCATAACTGTACATTCATAATTTAGTAACTGTACATTCATAATTCAATAACTGTAAATTCATAATTTTCGAAGCTCTATGTTCACAATTTCAGAGCTCTATGTTCATAATTTTATCACTATATGTTCATAATTGTAAGTTCATAATGTCAGAGCTCTGTGTTCATAATTCCATAACTTATATTCATAATTCCATAACTGTACATTCATAATTCCATAACTGTACATTAGTAACTCCACAAACGAATAACGCCGTTAACGGCGAGACAAAATCAATTTTTTTAAAACTAGAATGTCACGTTTTCCCTAAAAACGACGTCGTTTTGGACGCGTGTCCACAATGCATTGTGGACACGAGTCCCAGCATAATTTGCGTACGAGCTTAAAGGTGACTCCTATAGTTAGGGCCTGCTTAGGACACCTCATAGCTATTGACAAAATTTTGCCCCCTTTAATAAATTGTAAATCGTGAGTAAATCCTAACAATTTCTTAACTTTCAGTCAAACAGAAAAATGTAATTTTTAACCTTCACTCAAACGCTAGAAAATTAAATTATTTTATGAAAAATGAGTCAATTTTTTAAAATCTTTTTTCAAAAAATATTTTCCAGGTTTCAAACGGACATTAAAATAAATATTTTCACACTAGAAAATTAAATTATTTTCCAGAAAATGAATCATTTTTTTGAAAATTATTTTTTTGAAAAATTTTCCATGTTTCCAAATTGACCTTAAAATAAATATTTTCACACTAGAAAATTAAATTATTTTTCAAAAAAATGAGCCATTTTTTAAAAATTATTTTTCAAAAAATATTTTTCAAGTTTCCAAACAGACCTTAAAATAAATATTTTCTGTTAACTTTATTTTTCTTGAATAATCAAATATTTTTTTTAATACTATTGACCCTATTACAAGACTGTATCTGTTCTATACTTTCTCTATTTACAGCTCAAAGAATGAATACCCACCACCCGGCTTCGATCCTATGACATTTCCTCAAAGAGAGCTACAGAGAAGATGTCGTTGAGCACTAAGTACTTGATAGACTAATCAAATATTAAAAAGTTCAAAATAATTTTCTGAATTTTTAAGCAATCCATAATATTCTATAATGTCAATGTCATGGGTTAAAATGCGAAGTTTAGATGCGTAAGAATATATCATTCCCTTGCCGCCGCTTCTAATTGTCAATGTCCATCAATTACCGTGTGGTGCAAAATTCATTAGTAATCAATTAAACCTTAATTAGGAGACTTATTCAATTTCTTCGACCAACCTTCCAAAATATATACTAACAGCTGTCCTATATTATATTATGAATTGTGTGGTTTCATTCGTCATTTCAAGTTGTCATTGTCAATTTCACACCCCAAATTCTTGTTTTGAATTTTCATGCGCCAGTGACGCACTACGTCCATTTCAATCCTAAACAGAACAGGCAGAGATTTCTGTCTGCTTCTACCCTCCCTTTGCCGCCGCCTATTCTCGATCATCTAGTAAAATAGGAAGAATATGCCTAGTTGCTTCCATAAGCTTTGATTTATGGGAAGTCCGCCACCACTATTTAAATGTGTGCTCTAAGTGAAACTCGTCTTTTTATCTTAGATAGTAAAGGATCACAAGAAGGTAAATCAATCTAATTAAATTGATCATAGCTGGCTGGCTCAAATCAATTAAGAAGATCCATAGACAGCTCCCACATCAAGTCAAACTTAGAACCTTGTATAGTAGTTACCAAATCAACTCTGCGACCAACTTGATTGGGTTGTCTAAAAAAATCTCGGAATTGATTTATATGTATAGGTTTAATGGTGAATACCTAAACAGTTATGAGTATAGTCACGATCATGTGGTGATGGGTTAGGTTATCAATCTATGCAAGTTCAATTTAGCTATTTATACCGAACTAATATTACATGCCAAGTTAACCTAATGTCACTCATTTGAGTGAGACAATAATTGAAAGATATCTTAAGGTAGATATCTTAAGGTTTTGACTTATAGTGAGATTTTACATTTATTATGTTATACATTTATGCTTAACATAGAGTTTTACCTCAACAGTTTCTTGGATAAGTCGGATTGAATGATATGATGAAAACACTCTAAGATAGTAGTTAGGTTATCAATCTTTTAATTTTAATTTAGAAAAAGTATCAAATATGCTAGTGAACTTATTGTTTGTGTGTAATTGAGTCATTGAACTTAAAATGTGTCCAATCAAACAATCAAACAAGCAAAGTATGTGCAATTGAGACCTTTTTGTGTGTGTTTTTTTTTTTTTTTTTTTTTTTTTTTTTTTTTTTTTTTAAGTAATTTGAGTTGAAAACATTTCACCTTTTTTCTCAACTAGTATGGTAGAGGAAAGAACAACTCTAAGTACATACCATGTATGCAATATGTTCAAATTCTCCCTGAAAAAATTTGAAAAATATTCCAATTACACATATTTTGTTTGTTTGATGGTTTAATTGCACACTTTTTAAGTTCAATGACCCAATTGTGCATAACCAATAAATTCGATACAATGTCATATTTGACATTTTTTCCTTAATTTTTAAAGTGAAATGTTATCTTGATTCTTTTTACCACGAATCTTTTAAAAAATAGTATGCACATATTTTTCGAATGTAATTTTGTATGGAATAGAATAGAGCGACTAATATTCTTTATGGGTTATTTCTTTAGTCTTGGTGAGGAGTGCATTATTGAATGATCTTCCTCCCGGCATCATTATCCAACGATAGACTGTGTTTCTCGTACAACATGGGTCCTTATAATAATGGCAAACTAGTTACTTTCTTCGGAATTATCTCTTTTATCTTGATTAAAAAAAAATTGTTGGGCATAGGCTTGGATAGTCGAGTCCACTGTAATGCAATCGAAGTGTGGCTCTGACTGTAACGCAAATATAAAAAAATAAAATTTTACATTTGTTACTAGTTATAATTTTTGAGATAATAATGATTA